AAAAAAAAAATACTCCATTTTATTTGTAATAAAAAAATTAAAGGGTACCATCATTCATTCAACTATAAAATTCAGAAACTAAAAATGTTAACAGGCTCATTAGGGAGAGTCAGGTGAAATAGACACTGGGTGACTAGTACTAGAGGTTACTGAAAGTGGTATTTTTCTAGAGGCTACCATACAGTATGGTAGGTTCTGCAGCCACTTTCTGAGTTTAGCTTAACATCTTTGTAATTAACTACTCCGTATCTGTGAAACAGTTCCTACCTCACAAAGTAAATGAGTTACAACTTAAATAACTTTTAGAATCCTCTCCCAACATTATAATCACTAATTGCTATCTGTTTTGTTGTTTGAATATAAACAACAAACATACATTCTGGATCACTATAATCTTAACTGCAAAAGTCCTCAGTATGTATGTCAATAGTATGCACCTTACGTTTAAAAACTTTCATCATTTTAATACTGCAATAACTTGGTCTTCTTCCATTTCTACAGTTTTTACTGTAGAAGTCTTTTCATGACCTTTTTACTTTTTCTACCAATCTCAGTATTCCAATTCATTCTTACAATTTAATATTAAACTCAAAATTCCCTTATTTAAAAACCAATGATTTGCCAATTCCAAGTAAGAAGCACATCCTTTCTCAACTCCTTTAAAAGCAGCCCCTGTCATTCTTTTCAAGATACCAGTTTTCTCTTCAAGATTTGGACTTGAACCCTTATATTTTTATCTCCTTACCTTATATGAAGTAAGATGAAAATTATTTTAGGTAAGCTGTCTTCAAACCCCCTTCAAATATGTTCTTTTCCTTTCCAACCCATTACCTTATAGAAAATCACAACAATGTAGCAGTGTATCTCATCTACTTCCCTCCTCCTATTATCTCAATCACCTACAGCTTTCCTAAAATCAAAGAATTAAAATCTCTAAAACTCAATCTTAATGACTTTCCACAATCTGATCCCAATCTACTTTCCAAGGATCAACACATAACATTTTTATACCTCTCAATACGTAGCACTTTGATTAACTCTTCATACTATAATTTAAACAAATGACAATCATTTTCTAAACAATCCTATTCTTTCCTATCCATTTACCTTGTCTTATGTTAATCTTGGCACCTAGAAAACGCTTTCTCCCACATCTACAGAAACAAAATCTTTATCCATGCTTCCCTCTTAGGTAAAATATTACCTCTTAGGGATATCCTCTTTCAGTTCTCTGAATTCTATTTTTAAAATCTTATGAAACTGTACTATAATCTCCTAATTAAAAACTTTATTCCACTACTAAACAGAAAACAGGTAACAGCACAGTCTGTTTTTGCAATACCTATCATTGCCTAGACTACTGAAGAAACTGGGATTATTTAGTGAAATAATGACTTTCAGTCTGATTCACATTCTTTCTTTTACTGCTCTTCTAGTTTTTGTTTGGTTTTTTAAAACCTCAAAACTACCTATTCAGTTAAGGTGGCCATGCTGTGATCTGTCCTGGAGCTAGGTCTCAGTGGAAGGAAAAAGTGACTAGATACTTGCAGCCCCTGACGGGAAATGGGGATGGAAGTAATAAAGGACAGAGAGGAACTTCAGTGAAACTTCAGAGGAGATCAGTCTTGCAATGATGAGGCCCCAGATATCAAGAAATGGAGTAGGGCTATGAGTGGGAGGAGACTGCAGGGGAAATCCTGCCTGTTGATGACCTAGGAATAAAGTGGGATGAGGTTGTCAATGCTAATTGAGGCTGCTGATACTCATGAATCACATTTAAAACTCTGATCTGTAGGGTTGACACTGTGGAGGGGTGTGGGATCCAGCTCATTTTTTTTTTTATCCCCAGTCTATTTTGGGGATGGTAGGGACATACTAGAATGTTCCTTCCCCCAGCCCTTAGTGTGCTAAGCTTTCTTTTTAATGCTAGCAGGGAAGGGTGGGAAATAGGGTAGTGACTGAGTTCATTATTCAAACCTTTTAATGGGTACAAGATTGAGTGTTTGGTTTTATTATGAATTTTTTTAATGAATGTCCAGTTTTGTTTTTCTCCGTGTACTTCCAAACTTTGTATGGCCAATTGGAAAGTGTCTGGCTTGTGTTATTTCTGGAACAGGGACTGAGACCCTGCTACATTTCCTATGCTCTGCATCCATGCTTCTTTTGGACATTAAAGGTCAACTGATGCAAAAAAGAAAAAAAGTCAAGATGTCAGAGTTATCAAAAGTTGAAACCTGAGAGTTGTTTTAAAAAAGAAAATTTTCAGTTCTCAAATACCTGTGAAAATGAACCACATGTTCTTTTGCTACATATTCACTTAGTTTTCTTTTTCTGAAGTTGTAACTAAAATTTGTCTGTAGTGTACCTAACCTACACAAGCTAAAAAAAAAAGAGGAGTTGCTGATATACTGATAACACATAAAAAAACTAAGCTTAGATTGATAATTTCTCACACAAATGGAAACAACACTAAAAATAAAGAGCAAGAAAAAATAATACATAAAGATACACACAGACGAGTGCATATGTGTGTATATATAAATACAGATACATGCAGATGAGTATATATGATGCACAGATGAGCAGCTCATTTGGTGACTTGTAGACTGTAGGTACTCAAAAGTGACTGACCTCCTCAATGCATGAATGAGTGAACAGTAATGAAAGTTTAATATTTGTATGTACAAATACCTGATAGACTCAGTATCGATGTGCACAGGTGCTATCCTTTCCAAGAGAAACTTGATCATTTCCAGGAAAGGATTTGTAGGTTGTTTAGGGTTGCCCAACTTCTTAGTTATTTCACGCTATAATGCAGATTTTTAAAATATTACATTAAACAAATCATTACATTAAAATGTTAGGAATCTACAATAATTAAACCATGTAGTAATGGTACTTGAAAAAAAATAAATCAAGAGGAACTGAACATGTACAAAAAATAATTAAGAATTGAGTATATAAGAAAGGTAACAGTTTAAATAAATAGAAGAAAAAGGGCAGATTATTCAATGTAACAATGAAATAAATGAACAAACATTTAGAGCAAAAACAAAGTTAGGTCCAAATCTTATGTGTTCTGCCAAAAATAACCCAAAAGGATAAAAATACAAAAAAATAAAAGCCAGGGTTGGGGGATATACAAAGTTCAGCGTGCAAACTTATGACAGAGACTTGTTAAAACAACAGATTCCTAGACCTCATTCTGAATATTCTCATTCAGTCAACCTGGGTTGGAGCCAAGAATCACCTTTCTCTAAAAAGCTTTTCAGAAGATATCTAAGTAACAGATTAAGAAACACTGGCATAAGGAAATACTTTCGTTACAATGGAATTTCATAATCAGGACACCAAAGGCAAAAATCATGAGGTATGTACTGATAAGACTCAGCTTAATAAAATCAGAAATCATGATTAAGAACATCATAAACAAAAAGAGCAGACTACGACTGATAGAGAATTATTTGCAATGAAACCAACAATGACATGACAAAGAAACCAGTCAATAAGATAAACAAAATATCATTCTATAAAAATAGACAAAGATTATAAACATACAACTTACAAAAGATACATGAATGGCTAATAAACCTAAGGAAGAAAAGATGGTCAGATCTGTTGGCTGACTAGCAACCAAATACAAATCCTATAAAATATAAACTTTTAGTTTTTATTCGGGTTTTATTTGTTTCTAGCAATGATACTGACCAATATTATGAATGAGAAAATGGTCACTCTTATTACTGGTAATTAGTATAAAACTAATTCAACTCTGGAGAACAGTACACTAATACATATTAAAGGTTTTTAAAATGGATCTTTTTACCCATGCAATTGTACTTCTAAGAATTTGCAATAAAGAAAAGAGTCAAGACTGTGTACAAATATTTAATTATGAAGATTTTACACAGTTCTCTGCGTTAGTCAAAAAGTGGAGTGGGGTACAATGATGTGTGACAATAATACCAGCTACTTAAGAGGCTAAGGCAGGAGGTTCCTGAGTTCAAGCCCAGTCTGGGCAATATAGCAAGACCCCCGTAACCAAAAAAAAGAAAATAAATCTAAATATACAACAAAGTGGACTAATCAGTAAATTATAGCACACATATTGAATGATGTATTTATGTTTGGTGTGCTACATAGTTATAATACTATAAGAAAGTATAACATGAAAATTAGATATATAAACCTGTACAAAATTATTTCTTCTTAAAAGAACATATACCATAATATTATTAAGTGTACCTATAGAACAACAGTTTACTTGTATTATCATTTATATGATTACTTTCTAAATTTGAAATAATAAATATAAGTACTTTCATAAAACAGAGGTACACAAAAACTAGTTGGAGTTTTCTTTTCAAACATTAGCTCTTTATTTTTCTCCTTACCACACAACCTTCAGCCTGTTTGCAGGAGCATGTTGGACTAACAAGTACTTCTAGCTGTTTCCTTATTTTCTCATCATCTTCTAATACTTGTGTGAATTTCTTCATAAAATCCTGAGCTTTACCAGGATCTGGCAAATTTCCTTAAAATGAATCAAAATAATTTTTTTTAAGTTTCTCAAAAAGGTAAAAGATCAATACTTTATTATTTTGACAACAATCCTTATCTACAGATTCAATTTAGATGAATAAATTGTGATGCACCATCTATAGTCAATTTAAACAAATAAAAAAATCTGCTTTCAAGAAATATAAGAGTCACTATTAAGAGACATCCATGGAGGGAAAGACAGAAGTGGCTATTACCACATAACTCCTTATAATATTTAAAGACATTACCTGTCAACTTGAATACTAATTATTGTTTCCTTAAGCCTACTGCATACCTCTTTCTCTCAAAATTCATAGCCAGAGATTAATCAAAAATAATTTAAGAAATTATTTTCCTGTATATCCTTGCTTATTGTTAGACTGATCCAGAGATAATTTATATACACATGAATGCTAAATGGAACTGAAATATACTGAGCAAGTTGTTCCTGGTATAAACAGTTGATTATGTCACTACTGGCTAAGAAAGCACTGTCTTTGTAGAAGACTTCATATTACTCTTAAAATATGTTTATGTATTTAAACACTTACAAGAGCTAATAAAAATGTAATCTTAGTATCTCCCTCCCCTACACACACACACACACACACACACTTAACTGCTGTAAAGAGCCATACTGGGCTGGGGATGTGGCTCAAGTATAGACTATCTGCCTAACAAACATGAGACCCTAAGTTCAAATCCCAGTACCACAAAAAAATAAATAAAAATTTTTAAAGAACCAGACTAGGATAACTATAATATAGAAATTATTAATAATATGAAACTTTGAACTGTCCAAAAAAACAGTAAAAATTCAACTGACTTAAAATGAATGTAGTGAGTTCAACCTTAAAAAGCATGTAGAATGTTGTATGTAGAGTTTACATTCCTGGCAAGAATGACTAACAATCACTAAAACATTCTGAATTACTGAAACATGTTGCAGAAAGAATACATTAATATATTAATCATCCTAAACACTTGCTATATTTCCTTTTCATGTCTCTACATACAAAAATCTTTTGTAAACTCCTTTACACTAACATGCTAATGAAAGAGAAAAAAGTCTATTGTAAAGATAGCCACACTATACTGTAATAAATATAACTGCTTATAGAAGATAAACTAAATGTTTACATGATTATTTTTAAGCAATAATCGTAAACATGCAATGAACACCTGAGAACAAGGTGGAAAACCCCTAGTATAGAACTTTACAAACAGTGTTCCAAATATCACTAGTAATTCAATGGAGTTTAATATTGTTCAGAAAAAGACAGTACTGTCTTTAAATAATTTTGGAAAATAACATTTTACAGCCCCTTCATAATGGCCAGGCACTATCTTAAGGCTCACTGTTTAAGTAAACAAAACAAAGGGAAAAGAGAGAAGGAAGAAAACAGGACAAAAGAAAAAGAAAAAGAAAGGAAACAACCTTAAATTTAGTGTTCTGCAAACACATATATAGAGCTTTTGTTTTTAATCACAAACAATATTATTATCACATGCAGGATAACAGCAGAAGAGATTCTGGAAAATACTATACTTGATGGAAGAAAATGGATGAGGGGATAGAATACAGGGGATTTTATACACAGCCAAGCAGTTATTTTTTAAAAAATGGAATAGCACAAAACCACTTGCTTTAGCAACTTACTAGAAAGGACTGAAAATTAGTTTAGCTACCCAGCCTTGAAAGATACTTTGGTCATAAAAGGTATGTTCATACTGAAACTCCAATTACTTAATCCAAAATCCAAATTCAATGAATTAGGTTACTGTTTTTTTCATACACATGTTGCACCTTAGATCCGTACTAAGCTCTGTCTCCCTCTCCTTCTCTCCCATTCTTTCTCCACCCTCCTTCCACCTCTCTCTCCTTCTCCCTCCGTCTCCCCCTCTCTCCAACAGGATCTCATTATACAGTCCAGGCTGACCTCAAGGCTCATAATCCTCCTGCCTCAGCCTCCTGAGTGCTAGGATTACAAATGTGTACCACCACACCTGGCTCTAAGATCTTTCCATTTACTGGAAGTTCACAAGACGCATTCTGCCCCATGTTCCTGATTATCCCTCTGACAATCTGATACACACAGTGGACTCTAAGGTGGAAAGGAAAGCAAATGAACACAAAAACAGCTACTTTTCCTTACTCCTACACTAAATAAAGATGTATCATCACACATCCTCTTGTATTTACTGTTAAATTCAATTAAGTAACATTTTACTGAACATCAGTTAAAGCATATTAAGCATTTTTTAAAGAAGCTGTCATGTAGTTATTAGATACTATCTTTCACTCTAAATTTTGACAGTGTAAAATTAGCCTCAGATAGATTCAAGTAAGAGCAAACAACACCAAAGCACAGATTTAGTTTTTCAATAAGCTTGTAAGTTGATTTAAATGAGGTGTCAAAAAATTTACAAAATAAATCTTTTATCTAGTTCTTGCTCACATACAACACTGAAGAAAAATTCTGAATAGTACATGAAGAAGAGGAAAGTAAGAAATAAAAAGGAAAACTGAGTGGCCTGCTTTGTATCGAGCAAAAATACTTTTGTTTCCTAAATTATCATTGCCTAAAACGAAACTGCAGGAAACAATTTAAATTATAAGAAATGTTTCAATTAAATCTTAAGTTTTATATAGATTTAAAATTACTTACTTGTAATAACCATCACTTTTGAAAATATGGCCTTGACACTGGCATCTGTCTGTAAATCACATAAGAAATGAAAAATTACAATTCCCTGGTAAGAATACATATTACACTCTTCAAAACGTTAGGTATGCATAACCTCATAATGTTTCAGACCCGTGCCCTTACTACTGTTACATCTGCCCTTAGCTATTTTTAAATTCTAGAGAAACCCCTTCTAGATTAAGGTACAAACAAACTTGTTTTCCACTCGTATCACCTTCTACCTCACCTTCTTTTGTCAGCCCTCCAACATAAACTGACCGTTATACCACACTTTTGGACAGGTAGATAATTTGAAGTCTTTAAAAAGTTGAAAGACCAGAGCAACTAAGTTTGGAAAAACAAGGAGAAAAAGAAAAAAAAACTTGTTGGTTTACAAGCTTTTCACTGTTATCGCCAACAAAAAGATGACGTAAGTATAAATTCTAACTGACTTCGAAAAGATGACGTAAGTATAAATTCTAACTGACTTCAGACATTTTCTGCCATAGTCATAATAGACGAAGTTTTCCTGATAAAATAGGAGGAAGTGTAAATATCCAAAAGTTAACATAACTATGAACTTTTTCTTAACCTTAACTCAGTAATGATCAATACAATGTATGCATACACATATATTATGCACACAAATGCACACACAAAATAATCAGAGAAAACTAATTCTTCTCACAATTACAATTTGGGGAGCCAAGTGGTATAGCACCTGCCTAGCAAGAGCAAAGTCCTGAGGTTCAAACCCCAGTATTGCAAAAATACATACATAAATACATCCACAAAAACAAATAAAATAAAAGAATTCCAATTGGGATATTATCTTCCCTCCTCCATTCTGTTTCCTGTTCAACCCTACCACACATTAATGAGAATTTCTTCTTTAATTTGGACAATCTGGTAATTATTTTAAGACAAACAAAAAGAAAATTTCAGAGGCAGAAAGAAACTAAACACTGTCAGTGAATTGAGACTACCTTTTTCAATTTCATGTATAACTGAACAGAAAAGTCGTAAGACTCTCCAGGTTTTTATCCATAAAATACAGAAGCTCCCACCAAATAAATAAAATTTAAAAGGGCAGTGAGAGTCTCAAAAACAAAGTTATGTTTGATTACAATCTCACACACCATGCTTGTTTGACATACTAACTGGCTGCTATTATAACTAATAATCTCTAAAATCAAAAATAATTTGATGCACAGGTAACACTTGTACGTACTTGGCCAGAAGAAAGTAAATTAAGATAATCCTAGATAACAAAGAGAGACACTTTTACTCAGAGATTACTGACTGAAACACACTGACTTAATGCATGTAACACTCACTGAAACACATGATTATTGACTGATACACACTAACTGAACTGGAGATAAGAGAAAGAAACAGCAGAATCACTAAATTAATTAAGTCCTTTATTGTAAGGGAAAACATTCTAAAAGTTTCAAAATACTCAATTATCACAGAAAAAAGGTTAGATTATATTCAATAAAACTTTGATAGTCTATAAAACAAAAATACTACTCAGGTATAAGCTTTAATTAGGCAAACAAGTGGTAAAAAATCTCTTATTTTCTCAAACTTTGAATCATATAAAAATTTAAGAAATACTGAGCAGGTCACTATAAATGACTGAAACAACTATTATTAATTCATGGGTTTTTAAGGCAATTATCAGTATATGCCTAGAGAAACTGGAAATTTTCAACCCCTGGATAAAACAATGGTCTCCTGGCTTCTGTCCCTATAAACAAGAGGTGTATGTGATGGATGGACTGAAAAAGAAATTATAAATAATAGTATATTGTTTTCCTGAATGTAATTTAAAATGATTAGGCACACTGCTTTTCAGATGAATTATTCCTTTCATGGGCCTACCATACATCATTCTACAAGGAGGCAAAACAAACAAACAAACAAAACCCTAGAATCATTCTAAAAGTCTATGAGTAAAATACACATTTACTAGCTGAATATCTCATTCAATTATAATTTATGCAATCAGGTTAATAAATCTAAATCACTGCAGTATTAATTGCAAGTTAAATATAAGGACAGTAAACTATAATTACATGATTACAGAAACTTTCTAAAATCACGAGCATACAAAAGATGCTGGTAGCATGTTACTGCGGCAAAATGTGAAATTTTATTCTATTTTCTAAGCTTTTATTAATGCTGAATTATTTTTATCTTATTGATGTCAAAAAAGAAACCCTTAGTTTTAAGCATGCAGAAGCACATTCTCTTCCCTGTTTCCTGTGCAGAGATATTAAATACTTTAAATTTTTCTTTGTAACAAATTTCTTAAAAATTAAAGTTATCTAAGTTAGGAATCCTAAGTTCTACAGTCAAAACTCTTCCACACAGAAAGAGTTAACAAATAACAGCAATAAGTGGTATGCATATAAACTAAAACATGTGTTTTACAAAACTAAACATCAAAAGATTTTTTTAATTCAACATACTTTGGGTTGCTTAATTAAGTCAAGCAAATCCTTTACTTGATGTCGAAGCAGATTTTGACATTTCCACATTTCATTTAATGCTCTGAAAAACATAAACATACAAAACAGGTTAAAAATCCTTTCAGAATATTCTGACTACATAACTTTGGAAAAAAAAAGATTCAAAAACAAAAGATGATAATGACAGGGTCAAATTCATAAGACTAAGCAATTGACGATGTACAGGGGAAGAAAAGAATCAACGTAACAGGTAATAACAAACCAGCAGGATCAAAAGAAAGAGATGTAAAGTGATGGTGTTTTGTTCTGTATAAAAATAGGTAGGATCTATCATTAACTGGAGCATATTTGTCACTTTAGGGGTAGGACTTAACTAGACATTATAAAACTGAGAAAGAAAGCAATAACTGATGAAGTAAGATCCCGAAGTAGGTAGGATTAACTGGAATCAAAGACACAAACATAAGGGTATAGATAGCTACTTTTTCTAAAACAGGTATCACACTATGTACAAATTTTAAACTGAAATTATTTAAGCTGTAAGTGAATATTCTTTTTGTATAGAAAAAAAACCAGATTTCTTCCTAATAGTTGTTTTGTTCTGAAGCAGAAATTTAAATCTAAAAAATTATACAATAGTCAAGAAAATACAATAAATCAGAGAACAATTAATGTTGATGAGATATTAAGTTATAGAACAGCAGAAGCACACATTTTAAATTTTTAAAGAAAATTTTCTAAAAATCAGTATTTTTCATCAGTTTATTTTCAATTGTTCATCTTCCTATTAAACTCTACTACCACATGCCAGATAACTGTAACAAAATACAGAAGCATATAAAACAACACTTCCTTTGACAGGAAAGAAAATTGTTTAGTTATTTCCATTCTCCTCTTTAACAATCTTTTTTAAATGCCTTCAGATTTTCTTTTTAAAGACTGCTTAGTTTATAAACAGAAATTTCTCAAAAGAAGAAATTCAAATGGCCAAAAAACACATGAAAATAGGCTCACCATCTCTAGCCATAAAGGAAATGCAAATTAAAACCACACTAAGATTCCACCTCACCCGTTAGAATAGCCATCATTAGCAACACCACCAAC